GAGGGAGGGAGGGAGGGAGGGAGGGAGGGAGGAGGAAGGAAGGAAGGAAGGAAGGAAGGAAGGAAGGAAGGAGGAAGGAAGGAAGGAAGGAAAAGATGGAGAGGAAGAGGGAGAGGGAGGGAGGGAGGGAGGGAGGGGGAGGGAGGGAGGAAGGAGGAAGGAAGGAAGGAAGGAAGGAAGGAAGGAAGGGAAGGGGAGGGAAGGAAGGAAGGAAGGAAGGAAGGAAGGAGAAGATGAATGATAGGGAGGGAAGGAAGAAAAGATGAATGATGGAGAGAGGGAGGGAGGAGGGAGGGAGGGAGGGGGAAGGAAGGAGGAGGAGGAAGGAAGGAAGGAAGGAAGGGAAGGAAGGAAGGAAGGAAGGAAGGAGCCCATTGCTTAAAATCAGCAGGGCAATTGCTGAAATGAAAGGAGAGCTGATTTAGTTTAGTGGTTAAGGCACAAAGCTAGAAAGCAGAAGATCTGAGTTCAAGTCCCTTCTTAGCCATTAACGCCAGCTAGATGACTTTGGGTCAGTCACTCTCGACACAACTTATCTCACAGGATTGTTTTTGTGTGGAAAACAGGAGGAGGAAAGTGTGTTGGATATATTTGCCACCTTGAGTTTTAATGTGTAAAAATAATAAAGGTGGGATACAAATAAATAGATAAAATCCATCCATTATATGTGCAAGCTCACAGTAAATTACTATACTCCAGGAAATTTCTGTCCAGGTTAGTGGTCCTAAGAATGAAATCACAAATTGCCCAAAACTACAGACTTTCTTGCAAAATGATGCACCAGCTTTTGAATAAGTATTTGGATTTATTTTTAGGCTACTCTTATGTTAAAGACTTCAGTGATTGCATAAATAGATTCAAAATACTAATTATATGGATATTTTAGTCATGTTGGGAATTATATACCCATATTCTCCAGCGGGGGTCCTATATATAAATCTTGAGTCAGAGAAGTGACATTTCAAAGCTCATTTACGCCTTTTCTATTCACTTAAGTTGTTTAGGATAAAGTTCCGTAGTGTATTTCATGAGCAAATATAATATTTAAGGTTATTCCTCACCTACCACTGGTTCTTGCTTTTATAAAAGTAAAGGTTTCCTTATCCAGTTGCGTCTGACTTGGGGGTGGGGGGGAGGGGAGAGCAGATCTCTGTTTCTTACCCAAGGGAGCCAGCATTGTCTGAAGACATTTCCATAGTCATGTCATGTGGCCAGCATGACTATATGCCAAAGGTGTATGGAACACTGTTCCCTTCCCACCGAAGTGGTACCTATTGATCGACTCACATTTGCATGCTTTCAGACTGCTAGGTGGGCAGGAGCTAGAGCAAGGAACAGGAGCTCACCCCATCATGCAGCACTCGGGTCTCGAACCTGGGTTGTCAGCTGGAAATCTGACAAGCTCATCGCCTTTAACAGCTGAGCAATCGTACCCCCTCCTGCTCTTATAGCTTGCCATAATCTGGAGCCTTCCAGATGTTTTGGTGGATTTCTCACCATCTCCAGATGACAACATATTCAGGGGTGTTATCACTCCCGCTTGGCCTTAGAATTCTCTATATCTCCCACCCCGTGCAAGGAGTGGAACCTATTCAGTGGGGTCCATCCCAGGTGACTTGATGGATCTAATGCGATTTTTAGATGGAGTTCAGGGATTTTCTGGTACAGGGTTCAGCAGAGGCCCTTGTTCTAGCACAAGGCAAGGAACCCTGGATACAACGATGGTCCTGTGGATTCACTGTAGCCGCAGATCTCCTACAGCCCTGGGGAGGGCTCTTGAGAGATGAAGCAACTCAACAGACGCCTAGAACAGGGTGGGCAAAAGAGCGTAACCAATCAAACACAGGTAAGAACTGTGAATTACCTTGTGGTAAATCGAACCTGTTTCTCCACTCTTGTTGGGTTTGCAGATAGCTGTCTACTGACTCTCTTTTGAGTAACCAGCTTCCTCTGCTAGACTGAAGACTGTGGGGTAGACATTTTGTTTTATTGTCTTCGCTTTATTATTATTATTTACTTTATTCATTAAACATGAAACTCAGTCAACTGAACATTCAAAAATGCGTCACAAATACCATTGACTGGTGCTAATGGTTGATAAGGGTTGCTGCCAGCGTCCTAGGTATCAACCAAGTACCTTCTTAAGAGGTACGATGTTCCAAGTAGCGCAGTTTTTTGCAGTTCCGCTGGTGTTATTGCAGGAAGCTGCAATTTGTTGATGTATCTTATAAAATTCTTGGACATGGTGTTTTACTGTCTTTGTATTATTATTATTTTTATTATTATCTATCATCATCATCATCATCATCATCATCATCATCATCATCATCAAATCCACCCTATCTCCATCTGGACAATCAAAATAATTTCCATTCTTGTCCTTTAGGGAAAATTCATCCCAACTGAATGTTCCTCAAATTGGTCAACCTAGAATCAATTTAAAAACTGCTCTTCCACATTTTCCAAGGTCGTAAGTCAAGGACCATCTCTATTTTACTTAAATCCTTTCATTGATAAATGGTTATTATTTCTCAAGGTTTTTATTATGCAATAAAATCAGATGAAGAAACATTTCTGCGGGGGAAAAGAGAGCATTACAACCTCACAAACAATGTAAGAGCATAATAATGGATTTCTCCGATTTCACAGAAACCCTCTCAAGTGGGAAATAAACTTTCTTAGGCCCTCTGAATCAAATGACCTTTTTTTATGGTAAAGTACTCTTTTGCAACTTTGAGTCAAGCAGCTGCAAATGTAATGCTGACATGATATTATAAATGAATTGCAAATATAGCCCTGCTGGTTATTCCACTAAAATAAATGATTAAGAATCACTCTATTAATTGATTATTCTATAAAAGTTATTAGCTTGATTAATTTGTTGTTTCTGTAATGAATGTGATTGTTATGAAGTGTTGTTAGAGTTATACTATTTTTAGCACATTTATATTGAGAATGACTCGAAAGACAACGATTGTGGAAAAGACACAACACACAAATGCTTCTCCTGTATCTTCCAACCTTGTTTCTCAGGGACAGCCCAGTTTTTGAGCTAAAAAACAACAGGGGTTCAACAACAGGGGTTTGGTGGGTTGCCCCCAGTTCGGACCGGTTCTATAGAACTAGTAGAAAAACCGGCAGGAGGCTCCGCCCACCGACCCTGACATCATCAGGAAGCTTCTGCACATGTGCAGAAGCGGGTGAGCGTGAGCAAAGCAAGCGCGCGATGCACGGGCCCATTGAGAACCCGTAGTAAAGGTAAGTAGAACCACCCCCTGTTCCCAACCCCTGAACTGCGGCCTACTATTAGGCTGTGGCCCATTCGGAACCGGGCCACAAAAGTGGCGGGCAAGCGTGTGTACGTGTGCACTCCATTTGAGCGAGTGGTGGGCGCTTGCACTCGCAGCTCCATTTGCGTGGGGGGTGCTGGTACTCGTGTAACTCCCCTTTCACAAGCAGAGAGAGCTCGAATTCACAGCTCCATTTGCTCGAGTGAAAGGCACGCACACCGCCACTCGCACGCTCACGGGCGAGCCTGCCGCTCACCCAGAACCATCCCCTCCCTCCCCCCCCTCCCCAACCGGTCCGCCAAGACAGAAAGCTTGGGGACAAACTGCGCTGCAATACTCTCCCCCGGAAGATGTACCTGTTCTTCTGTTATTAACATGCCAGATAAAACATTTTCAACATTCTACATTTTCGACATGTAGAACATCGACATTCTACGTAATAACATTTTGTTATTAATATGCCAGACAGAACTTGCCTAAGCTTTTGATCTTTTTAAAAAAATCTGTTTTATTTTTTTCTTCTGACTGCTGATGCTTTGCTGTCAATTCGTACTGACTTGATTATTCTTAAAGCAAAGAATAAGATGTCTTAAGACAGTGTTTCTCAACCTTGGCCGCTGGACGATGTGTGGACTTCAACTCCCAGAATTCCCCAGCCAGCTCTGCTGGCTGGGGAATTCTGGGAGTTGAAGTCCACACATCGTCCAGCGGCCAAGGTTGAGAAACACTGTCTTAAGATGTCTTTAAAAAACATTTTATACGGGGTGGGGGAAAAAAAACCCTGTCCTCCAGTAGTAAGACAACCTTTCCAAAGATACTGAGCGGTTAATGTTCAGGTGATTGTGACACGCATGTACCAGCACAGTGTATGACCCAGCAGCACAATCATTTGTTAAGGAACTGGAGCCTAGATCAAGAGAAAGTCTTCATGGATACATCTGCACCCTCAGCCTGTTGAAAGCAGCCCCAAGCGCAAAAATGCAAATCGCATTAGAGCAAAACCTTGCACGTTTAAAAATCGACACTTAAGAATCCTTTTAAAGAAGAACAGAAACGGTTGTGCAGCCAGATTCATTCCATGAGCAGGTTTCAGACACGACCAATATTGGAGGTAGTCCTCGACTTATGACCACAATTGAGCTCAAAATTTCTGTTGCTAAGCGAGACAGCGGTTAACTTAATTTTACCCCATTTTATGATCTTTCTTGCTACAGTCGTTAAGTGGATCACTGCCGTTGTTAAGTTAGTAACACGTTTCTTAAGTGAATTTGGTTTCCCCCATTGACTTTGCTGGTCAAAAAGTTGCAAAAGGGGAATCACATGACCCCAGGACACTGCAACCGTCATAAATATGAGTCAGTTGCCAAGCGTCTGGATTCTGATCACGTGACTATGGGGATGCTGTAACGGCCTTCCATTTCAAAAAGTCATAAGCCACTTTTTCCAGTGCCGTTGTCATTTCAAATGGTCACTAAACAAACTGTTGTAAATCGAGGACTACCTGTAACTGGTTGGCTTAAAATGCAGCCGTGATTATGAGTTGGACCTCCACGAGCCTCAAAGAAATGGGAATTCCAGAGTTGGCAATAGCTAACAAGGGTGTTTCCTTGCCTGCCTGCATATAGACACAAATTCTTTTAGAGATGCATGCATACACCAGCTCTTCAGAATCAAAGCTGACTCATGTTTTTTCCCCCTTTTCTTTTTAAGCGGGATCACAAGAGAAGTTATGAAGCTCATTTCCTGACCTTCGAATGACATAAGGGCAGAGAGAAGACTTTTTTATATATAACCTTTCCATAATAAATATATTTTATGTACAGAGGATCTATACCGAGGAATTCCACTATATCATCCAACAATTAAATTGTTTCAATATTTACCCTGCCTTCGGCTGCCAAGTCTGAACTCGGAGTAATGCAAGAGTAATTTAAAAAGATTTTTTTAGAAAAAGAAAAAGAAACAAGAAGGAAAATAGCTCCCAAAGGCCCTTGGGCAGAAGTGCCCGATGTCAGGAAACATTTGTTTTTACTTCCTTCGCCGCCAAATGAATTTTACTCATGGCAGCGGTTTCGAGCTGGACTGAATCCATACAGAAGCTAACCAGAAGCATTTCGTTTCTCAAATAAATGCCTCTGCTGGGAATACACTATACATAAAAAGGAAAAGTTATTTTCTAACAGCCGTACGCTAGGCAGGCAGCGTGTTCTGTGTTGCTTCAAAAGCAGAAACCGGTTAGTCATTTTTCCGTTTCCATGAAAAAGCATTTGAAGAATGGAGAAGCCGGCTTCTGCGTTAACGGTAGGTCAGAGTGGGAATGGCCACAGCAGGGAGTCAGGTAGTATGGGGAAAAAAGAGAAAAAGGTTTTATTTTATTTTTATTTTTCGTTATGATATGCCGGTTCAATGTTTCCACTCCTGTTTGGCGTTTTCCTATTTCAAGGTGGCAGGAAAACGGCTGCTCCGAGGACCAGAAAGTTACACATGACCCTGAAGTCACAGGATGCCGACCCCTTGCTTAAAATTAACTTTCATCAAGAGGCATGGGAGAAAGAAGAAGAGGGAGGCAAAGTAGTTTTTTAAGGGGAAGGATTCCTACTTTTCCCAAATGCAGGTATTCCTTGACTTTATACCATCCATTTACAATACAGGTAAAGACTCCCCTTGCACATATGTGCTAGTCATTCCCAACTCTAGGGGGCGGTGCTCATCTCTGTTTCAAAGCCGAAGAGCCAGCGCTGTCCCAAGACGTCTCCGTGGTCATGTGGCCGGCATGACTAAACACCAAAGGCGCACGGAGCGCTGTTACTTTCCCACCAAAGGTGGTCCCTATTTTTCTACTTGCATTTTTTTTAACATGCTTTCGAACTGCTAGGTTGGCAGAAGCTGGGACAAGTAATAGAAGCTCACTCCGTTACGCAGCACTAGGGATTTGAACCGTTGAATTGCCGATCTTTTGATCGACAAGTTCAGCGTCTTAGCCACTGAGCCACTGCATCCTTTTAAACGTACACCTTCACATAAGAGTGCCCCTATTGGGGTTGCAGGCCAGCCGGCAGAGCCAGGTTTTAAGGGTCTTCTGGAAGACCAGGAGTGTGAGGGTGGACCTCACCTCCAGTGGGAGATTATTTCAGAGAACTTAGAACAACTTTATCACTTTAAGTTAAAGGTTCCCCTCACACATATGTGCTAGTCGTTCCCGACTCTAGGGGGCGGTGCTCATCTCTGTTTCAAAGCCAAAGAGCCAGCGCTGTCCGAAGACGTCTCCGTGGTCATGTGGTTGGCATGACTCAACGCCAAAGGTGCACGGACCGGCGGCACAGCGTTACTTTCCCATCAAAGGTGGTCCCTATTTTTCTACATGCATTTTTTACGTGCTTTCAAATTGCTAGGTTGGCAGAAGCTGGGAAAAGTACCGGGAGCTCACCCCGTTACACAGCTCTAGGGATTCGAACCACTGAACTGCCGACCTTTCGATTGACAAGCTCAGCGTCTTAGCCACTGAGCCACCACGTCCCTTCCGTTTACAATAACACTGAAAAAAAGTGATTTATGACCAGTCCATGCATTTATAAGCATCTCAACATCCCCACAGTCACATGAACAAAAATTTGGGTGCTTGGTGACCAGCATGTAGAGGTAGTCCTTGACTTACAACTGTTCATTTAAGTGACCATTCAAATCACTGAAAAAAAGTGACTTTGGACCATTTTTCACACTTGCGATCGTTGCGGCATCCCCATGGTCATGTGATCAAAATCCAGAGGCTTGGCAACTGACTCATATTTACGACGGTTGCCGTGTCCTGGGGTCATGTATATCACCTTTTGCAACCTTCTGACAAAGTCAGGAGGAATGCCAGATTCACTTAACAACCATGTTGCTGACTTAACAGCCGCAGTGATTCATTTAACAACCCTGGCAAGAAAGATCATACAACGGGGTAAAATTAAGTTATTATTTGTTATTATTATTTATTATTTGTTCAACTTGTATGCCGCCTTTCTCCGAAGACTCAAGACAGTTAACTGTCTTACTTACCAACAGAAAACTGGGGCTCAGTTGTGGTCGTAAGTCAAGGACTACCTCGACTAACTATTTATGACAGTTGCAATGTCCCAGAATCATGTGATTGCCGTTTGCAACCTTCCCAGCTGGCTTCCAATAAGCAAAGTCAGTGGGGGAAATCAGATTCATTTAAAAACTGTGTGATTCACAGAACCATTGCAGCAAAACAAGGTTGTAAAATTGGTCATGACTCACTTAACAACCATCTTGCTTAGCAACAAAAATTCTGGTCCCAACTGTGACCATACGTTGAAGTCTACTTGTTAGCATCTAATACAGGGGTGTCATTCAAGGTCTGTGGGGCCACATCCGGCCTGCGGGGTGCTTAGATCTGGCCCATGGGGCCACCATAGTAACAGCGAAGGACTGGCCCGCGATGCCTCTGCCAGCGAAAACCGAACTGGGGGGGGGGGGGGGGGGCCCCCGAGCTCCATTTTCGCTGGCAGAGAGCTGCAGGAAACTATCGCAGCCAAAAACAGATGTCGAGCTGGTGTTGTGGCCTGTACGCGGCCTGTGCAGCTGGTGGCTGATTTGGACAGCGAGGAGGCTGGTGTGGTGCTGCGCCAGCAGCCTGTACAGCTGGCTGGACCATGAGGAGGTTGGAGAAGATGCGGTGTTAGAGGCGGGGATTCAGCCAGGGCCTTCAGAACCTCCAGAAGAGGACGAAGAGGAGGAGCCTCTTCTCGATGCATGGGCGCACAGAGCTCCCAAAAGGCAGGAGTGGCTTCTCAGGAGGAGGTCTCCTCGAGAGTAAGGCTTGGGGCTAATTGGTCACTCCCTTAGCCTATTTAAGGAGGAACGCTGACTGAAGCAATTTGCAGGGAACAACTTCGTTCACTCTCCTTTGTGCCTTGATCTTAGATCTCTGCAAATTGCTTCTGGGCTTTCTGCCAACCACAGTAAGATTAAGATTATTTATTCTTTGGATTCTTGTAGGCTGTTAAGAAAGTTAATTAACAGCCTTTGTTTGGAAAAAAAAACTGATTTAATTTAGTAAACTAATGTTTGTACAGACTTTGTGTGTGCTGAGTTCTTTGGGGTCCGTAGCTGGGGCAGAACAGCTGGCCATGCCCCCCTGGCCACGCACGCCCTCCCCCAAGGTCAAACACAACCCTGATGCAGCCCGCAATGAAATCGAGTTTGACACCCCTGGCCTAATAAGCCATCTCCTTCCCATTGCACTGAAACCTACCAAGTACAGGAGTCTCTTAATTCTAATCTGAAATAGTACAGAAAGTTCACAATAAGTATGAGTTTGAATAATGGGACATTTTGATTTAGTATGAATCATAAATTGATACCCGGTCATGTTTAATGCAACCACAATTCAGTTAATGGAAGGCTAGCAGGTGTGCAATTGATACAGGCGCCTACATGGTTGAGGTTGGGCTTTCAGATGCTGTTAATCACTGCGTGTGCAGAATGGAGAAAAGGAAGATTCCATCAGAGAAAAACACGACTAACGTGAGAAGTTCACTCTCAAGGAATCTGAAAATAGCTTTCAGGCTGTAGAATTCGCGAAACAAAAAATTACGGATGCTGACACTAACCTTGATCGAAGCATGCAAATTTGCCGAGATGCGGATAAAGCACCGCATGCTGCGTCTACCAGCGTTATGTATGAAGATTTAAAGAAAGAGAAAACATTTGAGTCTATGTTGCTAAAGTGCTTTGAGAGACAATAAATACGTTGTCTTCCATCTAAGCTCACCTTTAGGAATGATATTTAGATTTCTTTTGTTTTTATTTTGCTTTCTGTAATTCCTCTGTGACTTTGTTAACCATAATTTTAATGTATAAGTATATTCTTTTTTATCCTTTGTATATCTACAAAAATATGTTTAAAATTTGACATTGCCTGTTTCCGTCAAACTACAGCCAATTACAATAGTGGAGGCTCCAAAACCCAAGAAAGACATGTGGTGAAAGGCGAAAGATTTATACGATCTGAAGAGAAACCAGAGAATGATCTGGAAATGGATTATGGAAATAATAAAAGATAATATTGATTTTGAATCCAAAAACTTTCTCCTGGGAATCCTGAAAACAGAATATGAAAAAAAGAAGTATGTAATTATACATATAACGACAGCGGCAAGAATAACCTACGCTCAGTATTGGAAGGAGAAAAAACTACCCCCCGAAGAACAAGTAATCAGGAAAACATTAGAGTGCGCCGAAATGAATAAGCTAACATTAGAACTTAACGAAAGAGAGAACACGGAATATTACAATGTGTGGGAGCTGTGGTATGAGTGGATAGAGAAAAGAAACAAAAAGTGAAGTTTGAGAAATATAAAGGTTAACTAATAATGATCATAAAGAGTTAACTATTACTATGTGCATTACTGAATTAAGGTTGTAATCTATGTAAACAACAAGTAAATAACATGTATACATGATCATAAAGAACTGTGCATTACTATTTGTAATAATATCCAAATCATATACAAGCAAAGATGCAATACTATGTAAATAATATGTAAATAATATGTATTTATATTTAACACCACGGAACCGAAAAATGTTGAATTGTATTTCTATATTTCACAATAAAAACCAATAAAAAAAAAAAGACGTGGTGATTCTTCCAAGTGGACATTTTTATTGTTCCACATGGTTTGGTACCCCAAATCTTGCCAAACTGAACCACTGTACACATAGTCTTCGACTTATGATCACAATTGAGCCCAAAATTTCAATTGCTAAGCGAGACCATTGTTGAGTGAATTTTGCCCCATTTTACAGTCTTTCTTGACCCAGTTTGTTAAGTGAATCACTGCAGTTGTTAAGTTAGTGACACGGTTGTTAAGTGAATCTCGCTTCCCTATTGACTTGCTTGTCAGTAGGTTGCAAAAGGGGATCATATGAGCCCTGGAGACTGCAACCGTCATAAATATGAGTCAGTTGCTGAATTTTGATCACATGACTATGGATGGCAGTCATAACTGTGAAAAAGAATCATAAGTCACTTTTTTCAGCGCCGTTGTAATTCTGAACAGTTACTATGAACTGTTGTAAGTCAAGGACTATCTGTACTATCTATAGTAAGCAGTGGTGGGGTTCAGCCGGTTCGGGTCAG